CTGTATAACAGAAATCTGTTCTGCCACAACGACCGTTCGGAAAATGATTGATACATTATAATCGAATATACTCACTTCAATACCAAACAAAGAAACTGAATTTATGGGAAAACTTTTCGAAGGCTTTTTTCACGTATTCATTAATATATAAAGAATGTAATAGTTTACATATTTCTATCTGAATGTTAAATTTTCAGGCTTTGTATCCTTCTACTTCCTTATTAATATGTGAAAAATATAATAATTCACATACTTACATCCAGCAATGCATGTAATTAATTCAAGGACACAAAAAGTACAATGTTTATATAACAGTAGAGAATCTGCGAATTATTTTTTAACAATTGAACAAAATTCGTTTATTGAGCACGTGAAAACCAACTCATGATAATTAAAAAATAGTTTTGGATATTCAGGTCACGATGAGTGAAAAAATTGTTTTAAATTTTGTTTAAGGATTAGCAGTTGGGATTATCTGCTCATAATTCGACCATAACCATTACCAATTCCACTAAATTGAAGTTCATAATGAAATGAATGTGTCTCCATTCAAAAAATGACCTTTATCTCGATATGAACACCGCGGAAATGTTCAGGTCGAAACTGATCACACCATTGAGTAGCCACAGAAAAATCCTTTCCGATTTTTTAAAACTTCTTTCCTAAAATGCATTCGTTGCCAAAATTATTCAGCTGGTTTCAAGCTTTTGGGTTAACCGGTATATTTATTACATATATTTTGAAAGTCAATGACAATATCTAATGATAAGTGTTTGTAGAAAAAAAATATTGAAAATGCAATCTAGTCGCATTGTTGAAAGATTGTAACATTTTCTTCTGGCATGAATTAAATGTCTATAAGTATAATGAGACTAGCAACTGCCAATCCAATAGGGCATTTATTTATTATGACATCCACGGCAAGGTCATGAGGGGGTCATTTAAACTTGTATATCCTTAAAACGACAATCTAGAGTAAATCTTCGATGACTAACGAATACACAGTAGTCCCACTAACAAGCTCACATTTATTTATGACATTATAGGTTTCAGTATACTGTTGATTACATAGATATCAGGTATGTTTGTAAGGAGAGTTGTCATTGCCCTTCCAGACCCATTGTTTTTTTGCTTCTAAAAGAGCCTGACTACGATATATGTTCAATCACTTTTCAACGAAAGAAGATACTTTGGGATGCTACTCAAAAGCTTTGGCTCATTATTATCACGAATAGCGTCGCCGGGACTACCATATTTATAAGAAGGAAGCCAGTTGGTACCAAGATTCAGCAACGACACTTCAAAAATTAGAGTAACTCGGAGATCAAAACCTACTATTTTATGGTAGCATTATAGAATACTAAAGTATATGCAGACGAATTAGAATTTTTAGGTTTCTGTGAGTGTGCTAAAATCAATGTAGAAGATTCTATTTTTTAACTAGGAAAGTTTCAGAAAGGTGTTTTCCAACATCAAGCAAATCAATAATACGACGAACTGTCTACGCTACACTGTAGATAGCTTCATTATCAAGCATACTATGTATTTATTATTAGTATCAAGAAGCTAGCAATTGAGTAGGTAATAATAACATTAAAATATGCATGACATGTATATGACAAATATATTAATACTCCTTCAATAAGCTTCGATTTGCAAAGTTTTTTTCATTCACAAAAGAAGAGGCACAAACTTCAGATGATGATATACAATTCAACTGAATCTAATTATGTCAATTATCAAACTCAACTTGGCGTCAAGGTGTCACCAGGAAAGCTTACAATCAGAAAGTACTGTTTTTACATTATGAGCTGTCATTTATTATCATATAATATTGATATCTTATAAAATAGTACCAAAAATTGTGCCCCTGATAAATTCTTCGTTTTTTATTCATGAAGGACGTTCAAGTGTGTTTTTGATAGTCAAATTTTCGAAACTGATGAATACTTCTGGATTATGAAATGGACTTGTAAGATGACGATTACAGCAGACAAGACAATTTCAGTTTGTAGTAAGAAATTCTCAAGTTTTGTCTCAAGTTCAGCACTTGAATCCAAGTAATTCAATGAAACATTCTATATCGAACATTAATCAAATTAAATGATTTATATATTTATATTTTTCCACTTGAATGCCAAACATTCTCATTTATTCAATCTGGGCGACTATTATTCTTGATCAACTTTTTTATGTTTTCGAACACGTGTTTCAAGAATATTAGCGAAGGCTGCCAACGCCTACAGACAAAACATTGGTATATTTATTATCGATAAACAACCATATCATGTTCCATATCTATAACCGGAAGTAATATCAATTTCCTAGGTCACATTTTGCATGAACGCATCTATACATACCAAGTTTCCAAATAATTATTAACTTAGATCAAACAATTTGTTGGTCACCTGGTATAGTTATTTAAAAGTCGATCGAAAGTATTGAGCGTGATAATGAATGATAATGACATATTTATTCTATCGCAATAGTAATTATTCCTTTCTTTGTATCACTACTAACTATGTGGGCGGTGTGAAATGAAATGAAAAAATCATTTCGCAGAACTGTTGATGTTTACCAAGTTTAATTCCATGCAGCAATGAATATGAATAGTTTATTAAACAGTATTTTGTTTCCTATGATGTTTCAAGTATTCAAGAGGACTATTATTTCGGAGTACTGTAATGATATCAACATGTTTTTCAGAGGAAATTTTATTCAGGAAAACTTTGGCATGGATCGCTGATTGAAATAACGTTGATATCATATTTGGGTTGACGTACTTGGAATAAGATACACTCATACATGATCGAAAGTACCTATATGGTAACGAATTGTGGTTCAGTTAATACATTGATTTGTGTAGGTTTCTAAAAGTCTCATTACTTACTTCTACAATGTTTTCTGTTTTTTTTTGTATAAAAAAGCATTTTTGCTTTGTATGTCTCTTTGAATAAACAAAAAAATCTGAGAAACTTCAAATGAAATGAATAAATGGAAAGACAAACATAAAAATTGAGAATATTTCTTTCAAAGTTTTTGGTTTTATTTTATAATATTCTGTTGTTCATCGGTATTGCATCCGAATAATTTTTTGTTTACCAGACGACTTTATTTTTCTATGTTGCTATGTTTGGGTCTAATGTGTTTCTCAAACTGGTCCATAGTAATCTTGATTTCCTATAAATATCAAATTGACTTTCTTGAGAATACATAAATACTATGACATGAATTCGTAAATATTTTCAAAGGAGGAATCTTCAAATATATTTGAATTTTATTGGGTGTTTCTGTCTAATGTCATATATATTTGATACAATTATCTTATTTTTCCAAATGTTCTTCATTTACGTACAGACTTCTTCATTTTATAAAAAACTTCATACCCGTCAGAACCCATTTCAGAGGTTACTTCTAGTTTATTCCATACATCAATTATCACGTTTTAAAAAAATTCTCTTTACTTTCGTATTGTGATATTTTTCAGAATGAATGTTTACATTCCAATGTTGTTACCTTGAAATATTCCAAATATATTTGAAGAGAAGTGAATTGAATAATGATTTCACTTCACTTGTATTATTCAGATTCTTCCAAGGAAACAGTTATATTGCAGTTTGACGAAAAAGCCAGAAAACAGCATAGTTATCGAGTTTTGTGTTATGTTATATCTGTTACCAGTACATACATGATTAGAATATTCAATAAGATTCACACTGTGCTCAGAATTGTTCAAATTCTACCAAGTAATCACATATGCAAACTGTTTTATTACAGAGTTAGGATGTGTTGCAATATATAAATCGAAATATATGGATTATATCATTTTTGTTTTCACAAGAATCTCATATGAATCATACACAGCGATACATTTTTAATTCTTCTTTTATAGTTTCAAGGATCTCAAATCATTTTAAATAGTAGACAATGGAAGTCCGAACTAGTGTAATTATTCTTTATATTTCCTTGAATATGGAATGTTGCTTCATGAAATTGATTTACAATGTGTTGTGGTATGAATGAGATAAAATTTTACTCACATGGAACACTGTCATATTGAAATAATTGCTTTCTCCCTTTCTTTGGAATATTTCCACATTTTTTTTGTATAAAGATGTAGAAGTAATCAGTCAAAACCTTTCTTTCCCGCTGGAGATGATTGAAAAATAGTATTGTCGCTGTAAACCTTGAACTTGAATATTCATTGAAAAAAACTATAAATAATAATATGGCAATGAAGTATTACGAGAATTTTACAATTAAAACTATTGGTTTACACGATATGTTTAGTATTACATATTATATAATGCATAATTTTTCGATGCATTACATGATATGTAATACTATACATACCTCCTTTTTGTTTCATCCATTCAAACTACACACTTCGTATATATGAGTTTTCTTTGGATGAATCCACGAACTTGAGTGGAAAAAAATTCATACACCCAAAAATGACTAGTTGTCTAACTTAAAACCCTGATGTGAACCGAACCTTATCGCTATAAAAAACGAAGTATAACTTTGTCAGAGATTCTAGTGAAGACCGAAAGTTGCTCAGTGATAATATTCACTATTTTTATATTTATACCAGAGTTTGGACTTTTATTTAAATAAAAAAAATTATTGAATATAATAGTTTTGAAGTTTTGATGATTTTCCAGCAATATCTTCGCAAGGTTCTTGTGTTCACAGTACACTTAATGAAAACACAGGCAAAATAAGGGTTGATAAAATATAGTGATATGTTATACATAAGTACAAAATGAGTGGAATTTAGTTAGTATGGAAACGCGTAAGGAAGCTATTGTATGGCGAACTACGTGTTGCGGTTGTTTGCGGCTTTTTAATTGTCTGCTGGTGAAAAGCTCAGAACGAAGTGTTATTTGACCACCTTGATCATTTTTATCGGTGAAGATGAACGGATTTTCACCCGGAAGGTGATCCTTCACTAAACTAAGACGTTGACGCAAATAATGGAAACCTCTATGAAAACATACCAATATGTGTGAAACTCCTGACGGTATTAGCAGTTTCCGTTCGCCAGCCTTTCTTCGGAATCGATGTGGTGTCTAGCCGCAATCCGGTTTGCCTCTCATATAAGTCAATCATAATTTGCGGTATCACTACTTTCGATTTATCAATTTTTGGCCTTCCTTTAAAACCGAACAACGACAACAAACCCGCTTCCGCTTGTTCTAACACATCCTTGGGGAGATTTGATGACAATGTCCTGCAACTGCATTCAAAGATGATCAGCGGCACTAACCAAAACTTGATGCTCAAATTCATTGTAAACCTGTAACAAAACAAAAGGAGTTTGATTTGTGTGGTTTTCAAAAGCGTTCAAAGAAGCAGGTGCTATACCGTTTTCGTTATTTTGGGGGCAAAGCATCCCGACATATTGGGAGCAAAATACCATTCAATCAACAATAGAAATGCACAATAGTAGTCTTGGAAGGTGACTTACTTGAATATTTCAAACTTGGTTCAAGGACAGTGTTTGGTTTGCAACAAATCATCACCCTTCAAAATGCGGTGTTCTGTCACATGAGATATATTGAATTACATACTTCAAAAGTAGGTAGTTTCATTTTTGAAAGAACGAGTTCTTCACGAATCATTATTCTGAAGATGAAACTATGAAACAATAGATTTGTCCGAGATTTATCGGCATCAGTCAAACTTCAAATTAGATAAATAATTCAACACACCGTTATTTTTTTATGAAACTTCAATTTCTAGGGTCATTTGGCTAAAGTTATTATGACTGTTTATACTACATTCCGTCTTTAGTTCCTAATTCATAGTTTGAGTATATATTATATAAAAGTATATACTCTATATACAGGCATGTTAGGAAAATTCTGGAGAAATTTATTGTGCTAATTCATTTCTTACTGGGAATCGCAATATAAAATTTCTATTTTTACAATCATTCATGGGCATCAGGATACTTTGTGGCATACCATAAAACAGCACAAATTTCGTTTAATCTTTTCCAGTCATATTCGCATTCTTTTGCAATAGAACAAAAACCGATTAAATGAACAAGAGTATACGGGAGTACAATGAGTCTCTTGTAGTTTGGACCAAATTTGATATCTTAGTTTCTGTTGTGTAGGTACAAGATAAGTTGTCTGGAATAAAAATTTTTGCAAAATAACCTCACAAGTGAAAGGAATTATGAAATCTGAACTCTCAGTTCTGAAAACCTTTTGAAGTTTTCAAACTGTTGGGCAAAATTCTTCAATGATCAGTTAATAATCATTGGAATATATTTCAATTTCGAACAAGGAAAATACCATCAGTACCACCAGCATTCCACCAATATTATTTGTACAGTTGATCTCAAATTATGTTATTGGTCTCTTATAAATTAATAATCGGCCAATTCAATTTGACTCAAATTGTATGACCACAAGAAATGTATTTTCAACAGTGTTATTTCTATTTTGAGTATCACCGAAAATAGTTATTGTACTGGAATCGTACATTTCACAGAACTGATAATGATAATACGGTTGTTGTTTGTCAAAACAGCAAAGGACAAAATTTGGTGACCTGATATACCTAGTAGAACAATAAAATGTTCAAAAACGTCTCAATATGTTATATCGCAAAGACACTCCCAAAGAAGTTTAATACAGAGAAACATCTGGTGTTGGCTGATTCCACCACATATTATCTGTGAAGTCTTGTAATATATTACCTTGAAAATAATTCGATTCCGAACAAAAGTATAAACTGAAGACGGAACAAATTGAGAGTTACCCACGAAATATACTAAAATACAATATTGTTAAAATCACTATGCAGAATATATTTTGTTGACGTCAATCGAAATTTGTAGAGAAAAACAATGATAATGGAAATTAGAAATTCAGGTAGAATAAGTTTATACTTTATAATAACCTAGCGGCAGTCTTTGTCCAGATGGTAAACAAGTAATTCATTTTGAAGAATTTTTTCGATGCGTCATTCCCAAGCAATTCAAATATAACCATCCTTTACCGAGCACATTTGAATAAAGTTCAAGGAAGAAACCAGATTCCAGCGTGAAAGAATGCATTACATATTAATTATTTATAATTTAATGAGGAAATTATGTATATCTTCACAACGATCAGTAAAAAATATTTCTAATTGTGCATATAAATGCACACGTTCCACTTGAAATCATATTGCATAGATGCTTCCATTTTGATTGCTATGTTGCATGAGAAAGGAGTACCTCGGCAAGAGTCAGTCAATAGTGTTTTGTTTTCACAAGAATCTCATATGAATCATACAAAATCTTCTAGGAATAACCGTTGATGAGTAATGCAAAATTATTTAGTCAATGGTTTCGAATATTTAGGACATTTCCATAATTCTCAATCGTTCCTGATCACAGTTCCTGATCACAGATGAAGTATTATCTACGCAATTTTTAGTGTCAATAAAAAACGAAAGACACAATATGTACATGTACTATTATGTACATTATAGAATTTAAATCCTGGCAGATTTATTTACTCCCTGAGGCAAAACCTCTTGGTTTATTTGGGATGACCTTGTCTAAGCGACAAGATATGGTGTGCAGCAATACCAAAATCATAATAGCCAATGATTAATAAAAAATGAAACTAGTACAAAAATCAAATAATATGACGTATTGTTATTATTATGAATGGACTGAACCGTTATATTTCTACCAAAGAAGCTACGGTGCTAGGAAAATGCGTCTTGTAATAAAAAATGTTTATTAAAATTGTTCAATTATTATCATGGATAGTATTGTCATTACAACTACTAGAGAAAGTTTTATTTGAACTGGTATGATAATCGGAAAAACACCCTTTAATTTTTTTATGAAAACTCGCATGGTATAAAGTAATATCGATGCAAAAATCACAAAAAAAAAACTTTCTTGGAGATACAAAATTTAGATATTTTAAAATAGTTTATAAATGAAACGATCGAAATGATAACGTCACGTCGATTACCCGAGTTTTTATTTGATAAGAAACTTCGGGAGTATTTTGCCGTAATATTTGTTTATCAAAAAACAAATCAGCAGTAGTTATTAGGTGAGAGGTTCAGACAACAACAGTATATTGAGGACACATATAATATTTTTATTTGGTCAAGAGAATATATACAGTTACATTTCGTTTCCAAGAGGACCTTCACTCATGAATAATTATATGGTTGAAACATACAAAATATGTTTTAGATTCGCAAAGTTTATATAAATATGCTCCCATAGAAGTAGTCAATAATTTATATTACACATACTCGCATTTGCATGTAATGGAAGCAAACTATGTCTTAATAGCTTTTTTCTATAATATCATATCGAATTCCATCTCGAATTTTATTGTGGCCCAAAAAGAGACCAAGAGGCCCAAAAAGACACAATTTTTTATGGAACAACTCAAGACTGTTAGTTGCCATGTTTGTTATGCGATTTTTTGTAGTTTTCAAGTTATGAATCTTTCAAAATTCCTACGAGAATTTTCGTCTGGACCGACACAAATATTTTTTAGTTTCAGTTNTTATGTTCCATCAATTGTCTTCGTAATTGGTATATTTCCTGGAGATTTCAATTTTATTGACATATATTGGACAATGCTTGTCACCTATACTTTTTGTTGCATAATCTTTTTGAACTGTTTATTTAAACACAAAGTCACTAGCACAATATCACACAAATGTTCTGTTGAATCATCACTGAATATCAAAATTAAAATTTTACTTTCTCTCAAAAAATATAACAATGAATATAAATTAAATTTCATCAATTCATATCAAAACATATAAAACATATATTTTTCTTTCAATCGCATTCCTGTTTCGGTAGCTGTACTTTTTTAATAACCTGGGAACTGAGAATGACTTATAATAATATTTAATTCGAAATATGATAATATTTTTGAGAGTTTTCAAAAATATGTTCCATTTTTCTAAAGACGGCAAGAGTACTCACTACGGATATTGTAAATATCCACTATTTTTCATAGTTATTTTATTTAAATTTCGTAACGTCTTGTAAATCATTTGTAATCGAATTATTTAGTATCAACTATGTTGTTCACACGGAAGACCTTCAATTATGTTTTTTTTATTTCTTCTAGCTCATAGCAACATTGACTTTGTCCACATATTTTCACCCAGCCAAGTATATTATATAACGAGATTGAGTAAAAATACAATGAATAATTTTTTATCTAAATTCAAAAACTGTTCCACTTTACTACTTACTATAAGATGATGAAAAAAAAAGAAAGCCGAGTCGTTATTTTTCTGAATCTTCCTGAATGGCCTTTCAAATTTTTGACGAGACTATTTATTTAGGAATGTTGGTTTATAACAACAATACTTTATAAATGTTACTTCTGTATGGCTTCCAAGTTCAGATAAGTGATTTACATGGAAACAAAATTTTTTATATTCTATAAAACTCAAATCGGTTTTGTACCGTTTGCACACTGTTTTTTACTTCTATTTTTCAATATATCCAGTTTTCTGAATAATAAAATACGCCGCTTTCTTCAACTAAACGAATTACACACCCTTTCATTAGAAAATTCTGTAAGCTGTAACTGGTACTGGTCCCAGGACCATTCCTTGAGGACTCCGAATGTTATATTGGTTCATTCATATATGCTGTTATTTGAACTTGTACTGTTGATCTGAATTTTAATTGAAACAAAAGCGCTAATTACTTCCTTCCCTCGCCTAAAAAATTACTTTGAAACGTTGCGGCCTAATTACCATTTACCTGGAAGAGTGTTTTCTTGTAGTTAACTGTTCACGTCACGCATGAATGTAATAATGATATGTCACTTGAAGTACTTTTTGGTTTTTATTCATTCAAAGAGTAGGTAATGAATTATCCAGTAATCCATTGTTGTCTGTTTTTGATATTCAGTTCACTAGACAATTCAGTCATCTAATAAAAGGAAAATGTTTTTGAGAAACAATTTTTTGGATTACTACTTCTTTTCTGATAACTATACCTATATATCTTGATATTGAACAATTGAATATTTTGATTTTTATATTTCGAGATATCTCCCAATTGGACTGACTGATTCTTCAACTACTTTATATGTCTCTCAAACTTGAAGATGCTATACTTTTATCAAGTTCAAATGACATTGATATCTATAGCTATTGACCATAATCATCAAATGTAAATTATATATTGTACATTTCCTCAAAATTCCATTTCACTTCTCGAAACTCGTACTTTTTGTAGTTGCTTGAATTTGCGGTGGAGAGTTGAATAGACCCACTCACTTTAGACCTAAG